GATATTGCCAATATTGTTGAGTTGCGCTCCTGGGACGACTTTACTTATAAGATAGTTCATTCGATTACATGAAATCAACTTTAACTTGAGAATATCCGTCAGAAAAAAATCATAGCATGTAATTCGTCTTTAAAAAGACAAACACATGACATGATGACAGTAAAATTCTCCTGTTAGTGATTCCATAGTAAATTATGAGGGAAAAACCAGGAAAAAAACCTCATAATACTATCCCGACATTGTAAGTATTTGTTCGTGAATTTAGTTTACCTTTAACAAACATCAAAATTCTGATTTTATATGTTACGTTATTTAAAAAACATGAATGATGTATCCTCTATATGTTACTGACTTACTAATACTCATTTTTATGGACGACCGAAAATTCATAAAACAAATATACCACTTAGACCCATTTGTAGTACTCCTTGTAGGTTCTCCTTGTAGTGAACTATCAAAATTTTTATTAAATATTTTAAAACCATTTACAAATAAAAATGACACATTCATAAAAAATACACAACTTTTTTAAATAAATTATTAAATATTGAATTTAATTCAAATCATACTTTGGTAAGTTTTGACATAAATAGTTTATTTACGAATGTGCCATTAAATAAGACTTTAAGTATAGTCAAGACAAAATTAGAGAGTGATGATTCATTGGCAACTAGAACAAGACTAAACATATCGGCTATAATGGAGTTATTAACATTATGTACTGATAATACATATTTTCAACTAAATAATGAATTCTATAAACAAAATTTTGGTCTAGCAATTGGCTCTAGTTTATCTCCATTCTTAGCCGATATATTTATGGAAGATTTTGAAACAAATATCATTTCTAAACAAAATTTCAAACCCACAGTATGGTTGAGGTATGTAGATGATGTATTCTCAATATGGCCTCATGGATCAGAGTAGTTGGACACATTCCTAAATGATATAAACGATAAAGAAGAGACAATAACATTTACCATGGAAAAGGAATATAATAACACGCTACCTTTCTAAGATGTTTTAATCTCTAAGAACGATACTGGATATGGGACTCAGGTGTATAGAAAACCAACACACACCAATAGATATTTAAATTTCAAATCAATCACAATATTAATGTAAAAAAGGAATAACTAAATCCTTATACGATAGAGCCAAAATTACTTGTTCTAACGAAAATTCGTTCTTGGAGGAGAAACATTTTTTAACATCTGTTTATTAAAAAATGATTATCCTTTATCGTTTATAAATAAGGAATTTTCAACAATCGATCGAATAGAACAGAACAACTTAAACGAGATCCTACAGCATACACAAGGAATAATATGAGGAAAATAACAATACCGTACATAAAAGGATTATCAGAAAAACTTAAAAGGATAGGAAACAAATTTAACATTTCAACAACAGTCAAAACAACAAACACGTTGAGATCTACTTTGTCCAAAACCAAACCTAACAATGAACAAGAAAAGACAAAGAATTGCATTTATAAAATACCTTGTAATGCGATCAGTTTTATTTAGGTGAATCATCAAGGCCATTAAATGTTAGAATAAGTGAACATCAATCTTATATTAAAAATAGAGAATTTGATAGATCTCAAATCTGTAAACACGCATGGGATAATGAACATAGGGTTCAATGGAATAATTCAAATGTAGTCCTAAAAGAAACGGATAGTAAAAAAAGAAAAATCAAAGAAGCGGCTCTAATTATGCTAAATGAGACTAATTGTGTCGCAAATTCCTCGGCAGAATGTAGTAGGATCTGGTTACCAATATTGAAAGAGGAAGTTATTAATATTAAATAAAATAAATATTAATTAAGAGGAAACACGCGATTAAGGATGAAGGAGACTTTCGAAAGATTTGAGAAGGAAGCAGAGAAGATGGGGCTCCAAATTAACGAAAACAAGACGAAATATATGTATATGATCCGCAATAACCAAAGCAGAGACAGAATCGGTCAGAACATTACCATCGATGACTTTAACTTTGAGCGCGTTAGAGAATTCAAGTATCTTGGAACAACAATAACTGAAGACAATAAAGGATCACAAGAAATAAACAACAGGATTCAGGCCCGCAACAGATGTATTTTTGCCCTCCAAAACCTTATAAAATCAAAACAATTAACACGACGTACGAAGATACAGGTCTATAAAACAATCATACGACCCGTTGTGATGTATGGAAGCGAAACGTGGACGATAACAAAGGCAAATGAAGAGAGACTACGTGTTTGGGAAAGAAAAATGCTAAGGAAGATCTTTGGTCCGGTGCTTGATGAAGCATCAGGACAATATAGGATAAGAACTAATAAAGAGCTTGAAGAACTTTACCCAGACGCCAACATCATAAAAGAAATAAAGTCCAGAAGACTCCAATGGGCAGGACACCTCAGAAGACATTCTGACGAACGAACAGTAAGACTGGTGTGGGAGGAAGACCCAACTGGAAGGAGACCACGCGGACGCCCTCGTCTTCGGTGGCGAGATAATATAGCAGGAGACCTAAGCACTATGGGCGTGGAGAATTGGATGGAGGTTGCTCAAGACAGAAAACAGTGGAGGCATGTTGTCGAGTCGGCTAAAACCCACGAAGGGTTGTAACGCAACGGAGTAAGTAAGTAAGTAGTAAGTTATTAATAAGAAAATACCAGTATTAGTAAGTCAGTAACATATAGAGGATACATCATTTATGTTTTTTAAATAACGTAACATATAAAATCAGAATTTTGATGTTTGTTGAAGGTAAACTAAATTCACGAACAAATACTTACAATGTCGGGATAGTATTATGAGGTTTTTTTCCTGGTTTTTCCCTCATAATTTACTATGGAATCACTAACAGGGGAATTTTACTGCCATCATGTCATGTATTTGTCTTTTTAAAGACGAATTACATGCTATAATTTTTTTCTGACGGATATTCTCAAGTTAAAGTTGATTTCATGTAATCGAATGAACTATCTTATAAGTAAAGTCGTCCCAGGAGCGCAACTCAACAATATTGGCAATATCATTTTAAAGTCATCTACTTTAAAATGCATAATGTATGTCTGAATTGTCAATATAAATGAGTCAGTTAAAATTAAATTATTAGAAGAATTTTTCACTATGTAACAAAAAACAAAATTTGTTTAATTTACTGTTTGTATTTTGAGAACGATTTCCGAAGTGGAAATTGAAACGTCAATAAACGTATTTTTATCTTTAATTGTGGCTTATTCCCAGCTTAACAGTAACTAAGAAAATTGTATTATTGAGATAAGTCGTATTCGCTCTTTTCAATGAAGGAAGAGTCATATGTTGGAATTATATTCGTTATATTTCTTGTGATATTAATCTTCCGTATAGTTTTTGCTGTGCTTTGGGAAATTTTGATTTCATTACGTTTATAACTGAATCGCATAATTCAGTGAAATATAGCGTATATAGAAAGACCTATTCGGACATAGGTCTTCCTTAGCTCTTGCCATAATATGTCTGTCTTTTACTGTTAACACGCTTCAAGTCATCAGTCGGCAGTACAATATTGATTAAGAATGATTAAAAACAAGCGATGTCCCCTCAGACCATAAACTTTTTGTCTCAAAAGAGAAGAAGAAGAAAAACAGACGTCTAAAATTCCTTTTAGATATAATTAATTAATTTGTATAATTAACTAAAACTAAAATGATTGATAACATATTTACTCTCTAATACGTTATTAACATAATTTTTTATATTATGTATGTTTTTTAAAATCTAAACAAAAGTTATTATTTTAAATCTCTAAGACGGTTATTATGACATTTAATTTATAAATGGGGTACATTTTCTTTCAATATTCAGTTGCCAATTCCATAAATCTCAACAAGACCGGAATTCCCAGAATCACCGTCTCGATGATATTTATATATTTCAGTTCTTCTTTTCTTTGAATACCGATTCAGTAACTCGACTGTAGATTCCCTCAAAATACGTATAACTACTCTTTTATGCCTTATTAAAACGCATGGGAGCTCGTAAAAAGCCCCCAAATCGAATTATACTTTTCTTTCATCTCGCTATGGGAACAAATCATAATAAAAGCGTCATTATATAGAATGATATCATTTTAGAAAAGTACACTGTGAAAATTTCATGTTATATTTACATTTGACCTAAATTATAGGCAATATTTGAAAAAAAAACTTAATTGTACTTCGGTTACATAAATGTAAGTAGGTTTAATGTTTCTCTAAATATGGCCAATTCCGTTTTTTTAACTTTGCTCTTATTAGCAAAAATTTTTCTTTGACATGTGTTACAGGTACTAGTGATGAACAAGCATTCAATAGGAAGCATCCTTTCGATTTTCTTAGCTAGCACATTTACATTTCGTTATAGATGGGTGGTTGTATCTTTTACTTTACGATAAATATTTTTTTATATCTAGTTCATCGGTTCTACACCTTTTTTAGCTTAAGGCACATTAACTTAAAAATCGTTCAGCCACGGCACACTTGGGTAAATAATCTCTTTAATGAGTATATTTAACAATTATTTTTATATGATTTTTTTACTATGATACGTTATTTAAAAATATAATTTAGACACATAATTAATTGAGAGACCGGAGAGTTAAACGATGCCCTCAAAAGATCGAAACAAAGCAAACAAACGGTAAAGCAGCAGGACCTTTTTTTTCGTATATTTTAAGGTAAGTTGGATTATGTGCTAATCTCTCCGTGCCCACGTTATTCTGGAGTATCTTCAAACCGGTCTCTGCATTCTGGAAGCCATTGGATACACATGACAATAGTTATCACATACACATGCACACAGTCGCATTCACTCTCGTATCCACTGACACACGCATTTGACTGCTCCAGTCTAGGACTCAGTTCTCTTTACTTTTTCTCCCTGGCCGTGTTGACCAGTTGGCGAAATTTCGGGCATTCCATCGAGTTTCCTCGATGTCCCGTGACTTTGCAATTGGTACATTTGTATCCTTCTTCTGGGCATTTGTTCACAGTGTGACCTCTGCGCTACACCGGATGCATCCTTGAGTTCTTCGTTTTGCATTCGGACCTACGGTGTCCGTACTCCAGGCACTTGTAGCACCTGACGATGCGGACTTTTTCTTTAATTGTGCAGGATATAAATCCCACCTAAGAGATCCTATTCGTATAAGGCGCATTGCAATGTCTTCGTCGAACTCAACTGTGGCGTTATTGTCTCCGCCGTATGCCTTACGGAGAGGTCCTCTGACTTGACAGACCTCCTTTCGTCCCGCAAAACTCTCAATTGCGCTGATAATATCGCTATCTTTGGTCAGGCCGTCCGCTCCATTTACAAAAAGTTCACGCCTGACTGTACCACCTTTTGTCACTGCTCTTGTGACGGTGCCCTGTCTAACAGAGACAATGCCCTTTACCGTCTCTGCCATATCTCTTCCTCCTCCCAGCTCCAGGACAATGCCCTGGTCCCTAGTCTGCCTAAGACGTTGAACGACGTGTTTGGTCCATACAAGAAGCCTTAACTTCTTTACCTTCAGCAGCCCATTCCAGCAGCTTTTGGGTAAGGTCTGTCCCCAGGATCATCGGAGCAAAGAGCCCGACGCTCTTCCTTCCTAACTCGTCCATCCTATACAAGAGTTTACGGCCCATCGCTAAGAACCTGACCGCTTCAGGTACGTTCATGTTGTTAGGCTTTGTTATTGGAGATATTCCAATTGAGTTGGTAAAGTACTTACTTACTTACTCCGTGGCATTACAACCCTTCGTGGTTTTAGCCGACTCGATAACATGCCTCCACTGTTTTCTGTCTTAAGTTGGTAAAGTATGAACCAAAAATATTCCTGTCGATTTGAATATTGGATACATCAGCTCAATATTCAAGAAAGGGGATAAACACAAATGCTCTAATTATAGGGGAATAACTGTTATCAGCTCGGTGGGGAGGTTGTACGGTCAAATAATAAAATCAAGAATAAAATCAGGATACGAAGACATAAAAGAACAACATGGATTTCGTGCAGGAAGATCGTGCACTGATGGTATATTCGTTCTGCAGTAGGTAATCGAAAAACGGAAGGCAAGGACTCTATCTACCCACCTATTGTTTGTAGATTTAGAAAAGGCATACGATACGGTAACTTTGAAATAACTGTTTCAAGCAATGACGAAAGTAGGTATCAGTAGGGATTATGTGAATGCTATCGCAAATGTATACAAAAATGCAAGAAGTGTCGTTAAAGAAGGAAACTTTATATTTGAATCATTTTCAGTAACAAAGGGGCTTAAACAAGGATGTTGTCTATCTCCGACCTTATTTAAAATATATATTCAATCATCGCTAGAGCAGTGGAGAAAACAAGTATCCGGAATGGGAATAGACATAGGCGGTGGTCAATGTCTAATAACTTTATTTTTCGCAGATGATCAGGTAGTCGTAGCGAATGATGAGGTAGACATGGACTACATGTTTAGAAAACTAAAGAAAGAATATGAAAAATGGGGCCTCAATATGAATATGTCAAAGACAGAGTATCTTAAAATAGGAGATGACGAAGAAGATCCAGAGTTAGCAATTAGAAACACAAAAACATGCAATGAATATAAATATCTCGGATCTATAATATCTAAAGAAGACACTACCAAAAGAGACATCGAAAACAGGACTCAGCAGGGAAAAAAAGCGGTTAACATTCTAAACTCTCTACTATGGTCTAATGATATTAGACAAGAAACAAAATTGACAATCTATCGAACCTTGGTAGCGCCTATTATGACTTATGGGGTAGAAGTTTGGCAGATCACGAAAAAGGATAGAAAAAGGACAGAAGTAGTAGAAATGGATTTTCTAAGAAGAGCGTGTGGTCCTCCTTCTAATGAAGATATTAGAAGGAGGACAAATACTGTATATTCCAGTGTAGACAGAATTGAAACGAGACAACTAGTGTGGTATGGTCACGTGAAGCGAATGAATGAAGATAGATGGCCAAAGAAAGCTTTAAATTACATACCACAAAAAGTTGCCTGGGAAAAAAATGTACGACACCTAAAGAGAGATAGAGGCATCAAAGAAGACGAATGGATGGACAGAGAACGATAGCGGTCGAAATGCGAGAAGCTGCAGAGGCTGTAGGAACATCGCCTATATATATAATAATTAATTGAGTTATTACTGTGCTTAACTAATTATGAAAATTAAGCAAACAAAATTTTAATTCACTTACAAACAAAAATATATTTTGTTTTAAAAGAGACGAGTTTATAATAAAAAATAATGGAGTATAAAACAGAATGTCCGTTAAATTGAGAATAGTGTCACCATATCTAATGCAACTTGTGCGATTTGTGCTTGGTGACCCTTCAGTATTAACACGTTCGAGACGAGGGTAGTTTTATGTATCCATCCATAAAACTGTAACATTTTTTAAAAATTTTGTCGCTATATTTGTTTATTTTAATGTAAATAAATAATGGCTCTTAGCAAGAAAAAAGAACATCGACAAATTGTTCAAGAAGCAGCATCCCTGGAAGATCTAAGTTCGCCTGCAGCGTCCCCAGAAAATCACAGTCCGGCTGCTGCATCTCTGGAAAATTTAAATCCGTCTCCAGCATCCCCGAGAAATCTTAGCAAACCTGCAACATCCACAGACAATTTAAGTCCAACTGCAGCATCACCGAAATATCTAAATCCGTCAGCAGTATCTCCGGAAAATCCACGTTCCTTTACTTCTGAACTACAAGGAAGATTTCAACATCTATCATTCTTAGAAAGTCCTATAGGCCTTCAGACGATCAGGATGTGATGAAAAATGCTCTTTCTGATAGTAATAGTTCTGATGATTACTCTAGCGACAACAGTTTGGCAAGCGGTGCAGGCGTACAAGAAACAGTAAATCCTGTCAAATGGGAACCATTTACAGACTTACCTCTAAATTTTCAGTTCTTTGGATAAACCGGTTTGAAAGTTAACAATTTAGATTTATCTCAACCTTGCGCTATCTACAAACAGTTTATTACTAATCCAATCATCAACATTGTTTAACCTGGCACTGGAGTATGCGGTTAGGCAAATGCAAACTGGACGAGAAAACCTACTGACCAATAAAACGGTTCAACTGGCTGCCTACGCCGATGATATTAATATTATGAGTAGAACATCAACAGGAGCACAGGAAGCATACGCAGAGTTAAAAACACAAACGAAAAGGCTAGGTCTGGAAATTAACACAAAAAAAACAAAAATAATGGTACAGACGAGAAGAAATATAATCCCACAAAACATTATACATGAAGATGACATTGAAACGGTTGGAAAGTTTACATACCTGGGAGTAGAAATATATGCCGATGGAGCAGAGGATGGAGAAATACGAAAAAGGATAACGCAGGCAAACAAAGCTTATTTTGCCCTCTCCCATATATTTCGGTCTAAAAGTGTCCACCGAAATACAAAGATGAGAATCTATAAAACTTTAATTCGGCCAATAGCATGTTATGGCAGCGAAGCATGGGTCCTGAAAGAAACATCCAAAAACAAACTCGACACATTCGAAAGAAAAGTACTGAGGAGAATACTAGGACCTGTGAGGGAAAACGGAATCTTCAGAATTCGATATAACAACGAGCTCTATCAACTGTATAAGGAAACACCCCTGTCAGACTTCATTAGAATACAAAGATTGCAATGGGCCGGACATGTGATACGAATGGGAGAGGATAGGCTACCAAAACGAGCACTGAACGCCAGAATGCAGGGAAAGAGACCAGTTGGAAAGCCAAGAAAGCGCTGGGAAGACACAGTAAGCAGCGACGCACAAGCACTTTTAGGAGTCCGTGTATGGAGAAGAGCAGCCACAGACAGACAAGGGTGGAGGCAAAAAATAAAGGAGGCCAAGGCTCAATTTGGGCTGTAGTGCCGTAGAAGAAGAAGAAGAAGAATCATTAACATGATAGAAGATAAACTAGATGATAGTAGAGGAAACTAACAGATACGCATATCAGATCATTTAAACGAAGCCACTGCGACCACGGTCTCTGTTGAAAACATGGACAGATATTAACAGAGCAGAAGTGGAAAAATTTCTAGCTATCTTGGTAATAATGGGGATTAATCAGCTACCAAAAATGTGTCGCTATTGGTCAAATAATGAAATGGACGATAATAAGCGAAGAAAAGGAAATTATGAATCGCAACAGATTTGATCAGTTATTGAAATGCTTGCATTTTTGTAATAATAACAATCCACTAGCTGGCCAAGACAGACTCTCGAAAATAAAAGATTGTTGTAAATCTTATTTATCAACAGTTTAAGGAGAAACTTGTTTCCGATCAAAAAGTCGTGATCGATGAGAGCATGGTACCTTGGAGATTTAGGTTGGTTTTTCGTCAATACTTACCCGACAAAAACACACAAATACGGAGTGAAACTCTATAAAATATTTACGACTGAAGGTTATACGTACGATTTGCGTATTTATGCAAAAAAAAATGATGCCACTATAGCAACGAACTCGCAGGTGCATACATATAATATATGCATGGAGCTAATGCAGGATCTTAAACATTCGGGAAGAATTTTGTTTATAGATGACTTCTATAGAAGTGTTCAAACTATGCGAGGGTTTCTTAACCAAAGGAACATATGTCTTTATTCACAGTAAAAGTTTAAGTTTCTTCATTCACAGTAAAAGTTTCTACTTAAAGGAACTGCTGTTATCAGTAGAGGTGAGGATTTTTTTGCTTTTCCTGCATACTCTTATCTAAAACAATACAATTTCTCAAAAATTCCTGCCAAAAACACAACTTTGGTGCACCAATTTTCATCAATAAAAAATTTTCATATTCAAACTGTTTACAAGTAAAAAAAACTAACAGATCCTCTTAAAGTTCATAGAATATTTGAAGGACACTTTCGCATGATAACCATCCTACTTTAGTGTGCAACAATAGCTGCATATGCTCAGAATTCATAGCAGAATATAAACTGTTAAATAATCTCGCTTTTAAAGGCCTACTGTTGATGTAGTTCGCCATTTTCACAACAGTTTACAAAACGTCATTCAGTTCAGGTATAAATGACTTAGCAACATGTGCTTTTGTGTCTAAAAAAACAATGTGTGAAAATATTATCTGAATTTTCTTTTTGGATTAAAGATCACACTCCTGCTGCTGCATCTCTGGGACATTTAAATCCGTCTCCAGCATCCCCGAGAAATCTTAGCAAACCTGCAACATCCACAGACAATTTAAGTCCAACTGCAGCATCACCGCAATATCTAAATCCGCCAGCAGCATCTCCGGAAAATTCACGTCCCTCTGCTTCTGAACTACAAGGAAGATTTTAACATCTATCATCCTTAGAAAGTCCTATAGGCCTTCAGATGATCAGGATGTGATGAAAAATGCTCTTTCTGATAGTAATAGTTCTGACGATTACTCTAGTGACAACAGTTTGGCAACCGGTGCAGGCGTACAAGAAACAGTAAATCCTGTCAAATGGGAACCATTTACAGACTTACCTCTAAATTTTCAGTTCTTTGGATAAACCGGTTTGAAAGTTAACAATTTAGATTTATCTCAACCTTATGCTATCTACAAACAGTATATTACTAATTCAATCATTAACATGATAGTGGATAAACTAGATGATAGTAGAGTAAACTAACAGATACGCATATCAGATCATTTAATCGAAGACGGTCTCTGTTGAAAACATGGACAGATATTAACAGGGCAGCAGTGAAAAAATGTCTAGCTATCTTGGTAATAATGGGGATTATTCAGCTACCAAAAATGTGTCGCTATTGGTCAAATAATGAAATGGACGATAATAAGCGAAGAAAAGGAAATTATGAATCGTAACAGATTTGATCAGTTATTGAAATGCTTGCATTTTTGTAATATTAACGATCCACTAGCTGGCCAAGACAGACTCTCGAAAATAAAAGATGTTGTAAATCTTATTTATCAACAGTTTAAGGAGAAACTTGTTTCCGATCAAAAAGTCGTAATTGATGAGACCATGGTACCTTGGAGATTCAGCTTGTTCTTCCGTCAATACTTACCCGGCAAAAACACACAAATACGGAGTGAAACTCGATAAAATATTTACGACTGAAGGTTATACGTACGATTTGCGTATTTATGCTGAAAAAAATGATGCCACTATAGCAACGAACTCGCAGGAGCATACATATAATATATGCATTGAGCTAATGCTGGATCTTAAACATTTGGGAAGAATTTTGTTTATAAATAACGTCTATACAAGTGTCAAACTATGCGAGGGTTTCTTAACCAAAGGAACATATGTCTGTGGCACTTTACGAAGTAATAGGAAGGGGAATCCGAAAGATGTATACGCTAAAAAGCTAAAAAAGGGACATATTTACGGCGAGCAGAACGAAAATGGAGTTCGTGTCTTGAAATAGGTAGATAAGCGACAGATAAGTACTGTACCACATCACACTGATCAACAGATTCCAAGTAAACGTAAAAACCGACAAGGCAAAGAAGTACTAAAACCCACCGCTATCATTGATTACAATCTGACTGAAAAAGGAGTTGACATTTCAATTCAGATGTCTTCTTATTACACATGCCTCCGAAAAGCTATAAAGTGGTATAAGAAGGTTATTTTTGAGATTATGCTCGGAACATGTATTAATAATGCATGGGTGATACATAGTTCTCACAACCAAGCTAAAAACAAACTTGACATGCTACGATTTAGAGAAAAACTTATACACGGATTGCTATCCGATAAGGAAGAAAATGCTACTGAAGAAATAAGAGTAGTGCATGATGGTCCGTGTAATAGGAGTCCAAGAAAACGAAGTAGAAGTGGCCATAGGCTAGAGAAATATAAAGGAAATGCCAGAAAAAGCATAAAACGATGTTTTAATGGCTACAAAACGCTTAAAGATGAGAAAGGTAGGAAAGCGGCATCGACAAAAGCAAGTAAGATACTTACATTTTGCGAAGACTGCAATGGACAGCCGGCATTATGTATTCCGTGTTTTAAGAAAATCCAAGAATAGGCTAAGTAATCTGTATCAATAATGTTAGTAGAATTATTTGTTATTTTTTGAGATTTGTTACCAAGCCACGTAGATAACATTAAACTGTGTTTATTGACTAAACATTATGTTATCTACTACCTTCATTTAAAAATAAATTATGTTTTGTAATATAAATTTAGGTTTGGTCACTAATATTTTTCCTTAATTATATTCTTGTTTTTGGAGAGAAAAAAAACAAGACTTCCTAATGTTTAAAGTTTTTAAATCATTTTGATTGTTAAAATATACTTTTTTAGACTTCAAGTGTTGTTAGTGCCTAAACAATTTCTTTCCGAAAACCGCGGTGATCTAGACATATATTATTCTGCAGCCGTTCATCATCATCATCTACCTTGGACTCACATGCCTCCCTCATTTTTGACCATTGTGCTCTGTCTTGAGCCGTTACTGCAGTATTATATTCCCCAGAATAAACTGTTCAATTTTAAGTTAAGTAAGTTATGCACCAGACCGTGACCTACGGGTGGACTCGCACGGCTCTTGACAAGAAACGGTGTGACCCACAGGTAGGTCACATTGTCACGAAGGTGTTAAATCCTTTCTAGGACCTATTGTAGACAAGCAATACTTTTGCAATTCTTAAGTTGTCCTCTAAAGATATCAGCTGTGAAGGATTTTTGTTCTTGATGGCGTTCATCGACGAGAAAGAAGATTCACAGATATAAGAAGTTGAAAACGGTAATATTGCATTCATAGCTTTCTTTGTGACCAGTGGATATTA